GCTTGGATATTAATCTGTTGCAAATTTCATTAAGACAAGCTTCTTGTGGAGAAAAGGCCGGGTGCAACACTTCAGCTCTATGTCTCAAAAACTGAGGGACTAGTTCGCGTATACAAAAAATGGACAGACGGACGTGGACATATTTATACACATTATATTTTATAAGGTCTGCGACATGTCCTTCTGGGTTAGATAGAGATAAAACAGGGTATAAAATTGGATATTTCGATATTCAGATATTATACTTGACTATATATATTCAGACAAACAGATATCCGTAATAAACAAAATTGAGTATAAAGCTAATAAAGATATACAAAAAAGGGTGATAATTTAATATATTTCTCTACACACACTTTTTTAAAAGACTACATAGAAACACTTTTTTATCTTAGAAAGTAACGCCCTGTTATTATTATAGTATATTTGCAAAAACTTAGACAACGACAACGCTTCAAATTTTTTTTTAAATGCATTGGCGTTTTCCGGTACAAAAATAACAAATAGTTAACAGATGTTTCGTGAAGTGTTTGAATAGTGTCTAATGGTTTTTCGAAATGTGTTTGTAGAACAATAAAATTTATTTTTAAAAAATAATACCGCTTGCTGTTTTGAAGTATGTAACTATAAATACCAGAAGCAATATGCTATATGCAAATAAAATCAAAGTAAACTCTTAAAATAAGCGTGAGTGCAAAAGGTTAGTAAGTACAAAGCCTTAAGAAAAAAAAATCAACTTTCTTTTATTTATGTGCTTTCTAGTTAAAATCATAATTTATAAAAACAATATTGATTTATGCAATTTTGCTTAGTAATCGGCACTTGCTACCTATTTGTTGATAAGATCGACTAACGAAAAATCACTTCACATTAATTGAAAAAGAAATACACGCGCACACTTACATCTGGCAGGATATATAATATTTATTAAATCACTGCTAAATTAGGTTAATTTAAAAATGCCTGTGACGTCATAATACAAAAGTATAGTCGAAATTAAAAATAGTAGAAATTTAAAAAAACCCAAAATTATTTATTGATATAGTAGAAGTAAACAAAAATTGATTAAGCTGTATGATACTCGGCATATATGCATAAATATGTACTATATCTATACCCAAAAAGCCTTTTTTTTTATAAATTTCAGAATCTTCTTTTAATAAATAACTTAATAATAAATTTTTTTATTAACTTTACCACACATATAAATAATAATTTGTTCTGAAGTAGTTGTAAAACCTTAAAAAAGACAATGACATAATTCAGTCTTATTATTTACTTGTTTTTAGTGTCAAATGAGTACGATTTCGTATCTCTAGTCTTGTCTAGTGCTTCAATAAGATTCTTTACTATTAAAGTGCTCGTCAAGTACAGGTTTTTTTTTAATTATTCCAATATGATATATCGAACTTTCGTTTAAGTAACAAATATTTTCTTAGCTATTTTTTTTTAGCGATTTCAAGGTAAAAATTCTGCCGTTATACTCCTTAAAACTGAACGGCACACCTTCTTTGCAAATAATTTAGAAGTAAAGGCGCCGCTATACGAAAAAAAAATTCTTTTTTTAGTTGACAACCAACTCATTTACGTAAATATTTCGCGCATAATTTGTAGATTACTCACATACTCACCGCCGAGTTGTTTAATTAGTTTTTTGGCGTTGTCATATCGATGTGCTATTCAACCCTATCGCAGCAATCAAATCGCAGCCCGCTATCAGTTGTTGCGTTACTTTTTCTAGCAATTTTTCGTATCTCTGCTTTCATTCTTTTTGCATTTGTTGCTGTTTATTTATGGCTGGTCATGCCTTTTTCGCAATTTCTATTGATAATGATTTACTATAAAATTGTTTTAGCAGTTGCAGTACTTTAAACTCGCCGTGTGCAACCAAACCCTGCTAAAATAAATAAAAAATCCATTACATGGTTTTGCTAATGCTGTACTTATTGAGTTATTAATCATATATACACATGCTATTGTTGCTTATAATTGCCTGCCACTTTACGCTTTTAGGAGCACTAACAATGTCTGTAGTAAAAGTCAATTAATTAAAGCCCCTCTGAATGGCAGTTTAAGTTCAGCGACCCAAATCTTAAAGTAAATATTGCTGTTTGCTATAGACTTTATAGTTTGGACATCTTGAGTGCTGTATTACTTAATTGATTTGTTGTATTCAAAAAATATATACCAAAATGAAAAATAAAAAAATTAAAATTGATGAAAAAATTTTTGAGTCGCAATAACATTTTTTAACTTCTAGTAATTTTGTGAGTTTAAATCATCAAATTTATGCTCTCATGCTTATCAGCAATGTTTTGTCTGTTCTTTCTTCAACATTAGATAAAATGCTCATAGTTGATAAGCGCATACCAATTTATATACATAATTGTATGTATGTATGTATATAAACATTACAGACGACACCCTTAGATACCATTACTGTGAAGAACTTATTAAATGATAAAGTCTGTATTTTTATCGTTATTAACTAAACTAAACTTTGTTAGCTTTTTTATACCCCGAATGGGGTATATTTAGTTTTTCAAAATTGTTGTAACACCCAGAAGCAAATGATGGAGAGACTATAAAGTATATACATTATTATCATGACGAGCTGAGTTGCTTTAGCCATGTCCGTCTCTTTGTATACGCGAACTTGTCGCTCAGTTTTTGAGATATCAATCGGAAATACGTCTTTTTCTGCCCAAGAAGTTGCATACTTGTCGAAACCGCCGATATCGGACCACTATACCATATAGCTGTCATACAAAGTGAGCCATAAAAATTAAGTTCTGCTTCGTAAAAATCTTTTTTGATACGATATCTCCATAAAATTTGGCACGGATTATTATCCAAAGCATTATTACAATATTTGAATAAATTTTTTGTATCGGATGACTATAGCATATAAAAATCTAATTCTGCTTTGGAAAACTTTTTACCGGCCAAAATATCTTTACGCAATTTCGGATGGATTAGATCGGATCACTATAGCATATAACTGCCATATAAACTGACCGTTCAAAATTAAAATAAACAATTTTTATACACTTTTATGCTATAAGAAACGCACCTATAAAAGGTATTATTGCTTCGGTGTGGCCGAAATAATATTTTTTCTTGTTTGTCGGTAAATTTCAGCGAATTTCAAAATCATTGAATGGATTATGAAACAAAAATTAAAACGAACTTGGCCAAGGAAATAACAATATAACTATTAATGATTCTGAAGGGCTATATCTAACAACATATGTACTTATAAATTTTTTTAAAATTTATTTGACCATGACCATGGCAGTGTGCCTTATCAGCGATAATAATTGAATTTGGCATATTAACACAGTTAAGTCACTTTGGGAACAGGAAAGAAAAATATTTCATGCTCACTTTGACTACAGTGGGCGCTTAATAAAGCAATCCCTAGTCGACAAGTCGCTAGTCGACAAGTCAAAGCTAAATTCATGTAAGTTTAGCAATGATTTCGCTGGTTTATGACAGTGTAAACTGATGGATTGTCAACTCGCACAGAGCTTTCACATATACAAAATTCAGCTTAGAATACCGCCAACACGTTACCATAATATCCTTGGAGTATCAATTGTCTCGATAAACTATACTTTATTGTCATCCAAAATTGTTTTGTGTAATTTTTGATGATTTTGTCCATAGCTATTTCTTTTGCTTATCCACTTAGCTTCTCATTTTCCGTATGCATATGATGGGAAAGAAATTTAGTCAACCATTCGCCTGTAGAATTTACAACTAATCAGCATAACGAGCTGAGTCGAGTTGCTGCTCGGATCACTATAATATATAGCTGTCTTACAAACTGAATGATTGAAATCAAGTGCTTGTATGGAAAACTTTTTCATTTGACGCAATATCTTCAAAAATTTTGGCAACGGTATAATCACCGAAGAAATTTTTCAGATCAGTTCACTATAGCAAATAGCTGCCGTACAAAATGAACGGTCAAAATCAAGTTCTTTAAGTAATCTTTTGTACTTGTGAAGGGTATTGTGGCTGCGGTGCAACCGAAGTTAACGTTTCATATTGTTTGAATATAAATCATAGTCCAACACCTGTCTGTTTACATGTACGACTGGTTTTCATTTCCCTTACTCACTCAACTCACTGTAAGATAATATATAAACATACTCGTACATGAAAATACCAAATAACTTCATTTCTGTTGCTAATTATCCGACCATGTTTATCTGCAACATTTCTGAAATACCAAATGATATTCTCTTAAGTTTCAACTGATAAAGAAGATTAAAAACCCATTAGTAATGTCCTGTATTTGAAAATGGCTTCGCATTCAATTACCAATGCTACGCAGATAAATATTGCGTTAAGTATACAAGTTCAGATACAAGCCTTCATACATATATTTATACATATGTTTATTAGATACATATAAATATATATGTATGTAGTTGCGAAAATTTCTATGTACCAAACAAATTTTGAATTACTATAACTGATATGAATAAATTATCATAATACAGGAAATTACTACTTAGCTTCTAACTACAAATGTATGAAATTCTAGTCGCAATAAATCTTGCATAGTTCAGAATAACGTTATTCGTTCAGACTTTTTTTTAGAATCAACACTAGTATAATACAAACCTGCCTTCACATACATACATCAGTCGTAGTTGAGCGCACATAAACCACCTTGGCGTATAAGCGACCACTCGTGTCGATAAAGTGCTTTTTAAGGTCTATTGGTGTGATTAACTCGAGTATGTCAACCGATAAATTAGTCTGAATGGTATGTTTGGAAATATGCAAATGCGCACATACGCACATGAATAAATATGTAAGCTCCAAAACAAATATATATAAATACAAGTATATATTAAACCCTTTTCAGCAGCAAATTTTATACAAAATATTATATAACCCAGACAAATTCACCTTTGCAAAATTCAATCAATAATGAAGTGTTTTGTTCTTCAATTTTCTCATCTATTTTTATGCCACTCAAACAGGGTGAATGTGTGTGGGTGAGGCCACAAAATGCCGGTGACAATGAGTTTGTGGTGCCATTTGGGGCGCGGGTCATACGCACGGAAAAGACACGCACGCTGATTGCCAATGATGAGGGTAAGCAATTTTGGGTGCCAGCAGAGGATGTAATGAAAGCGATGCATATCACATCACAGCAGGGCGTCGATGATATGATTACGCTGGGTGATTTGCAGGAGTACGCAATTTTACGGAACTTAGAGATGCGTTACGCAAAACGGCTTATTTATGTGAGTAGCACAAACATTTATATATTATACATGTATATGATATACCAAACACCTATGCAAAACTAATTATAATTAAATAATGTCTTCTATTAGACCTATACCGGCTCTATGCTGATCGCGCTCAATCCCTATCAAGTGCTGCCGATCTACACGAACCGTGAGATTGCCAAGTACCGCGGCAAGAAGATCAGCGAGCTACCGCCACATATATTTGCCATCAGCGACAACGCCTTTCAGCAGTTGAAACGCGATCGCATGAATCAGTGCATCGTGATTAGCGGTGAGTCGGGTGCGGGCAAAACGGAGAGTACCAAACTTATACTACAGTATCTGGCCGCTATTAGTGGCAAGCACTCGTGGATTGAGCAGCAAATTATAGAGGCCAATCCAATTTTGGAGGCATTCGGCAATGCGAAGACGGTGCGGAATGACAATTCGTCACGTTTTGGCAAATACATCGAGATACGTTTCACGGATGCGGGCAACATACAGGGCGCAAATATTGAACAATATCTATTAGAGAAGTCACGTATTGTGGCTCAGTCGCGCGACGAACGCAATTATCACATTTTCTATTGCATGTTGGCGGGTCTAAGTAATGCTGAACTGACACGCCTCGAACTTTTGGATAAATCGCCGACAAAGTATCACTATTTATCACAGGGTGGCTGTCATGAATTGCAGGGAAAAAATGATGCGAAGAATTTTGCTGACATACGCGCTGCTATGAAGGTGCTCTCTTTCGGCCCAGAGGAAGTGTGGAGCATATTTAGTCTATTGGCTGCCATTTTACATCTCGGCAATATGTACTTCAAGGCGACGGTGGTACAAAATATGGACGCCACTGAAGCCAACGATATTGTAAGTTTGCAGCGTGTAGCTTCACTGCTGGGTGTCACAAAGCAAGCTTTGGCCAATGCGCTTACGTCCAAGACTATTTTTGTGCATGGCGAACGTGTTGTGACTAGCCTTTCGCGAGATATGGCCATCGAAGGTCGCGATGCATTCGTGAAGTCGTTGTATGGAGCGATTTTCATACGCATCGTTGAGCGCATAAACGCGACTATCAATACGAAGGATAAGTCGTCGAAATCGCTAAATACCATCGGTGTGCTAGATATATTTGGCTTCGAAAATTTCGCCGATAATAGTTTCGAACAATTGTGCATCAATTATGCGAATGAGAATTTGCAGCAATTTTTTGTGCGACACATTTTTAAGGTTAGTTGTTTGTAAGAAAATATTCACTTTTATTTTATCAGATATTTTTCATGTAAATTGCTCTTTATATAAACCCCTCAGATGGAGCAAGCGGAATATGAACAAGAGAGCATAATGTGGCAACATATCGACTTTAAGGATAATCAGGAGATATTGGACATAATCGGCATGAAGTCGATGAATATTATGTCACTCATTGATGAAGAGTCGAAGTTTCCTAAAGGTAATTAACTATCTGTTTTTTAATAAAAACCTAGGAAAAACAGGTACTAGGTTGGTTATATATTTGATAATGAAACATCAATGTCAATACTAATTTGTACCTTTTTTCATTTTCCAATTAAATTCCTTAGGTACCGATAGCACATTGCTAGAAAAGTTGCACGTGCAACATGGCAATCGGTCCATATATGTTAAACCTAAATCTAATCAAGCAGCACTTTTTGGTATAAGACATTATGCCGGTGTGGTTATGTACAACCCTAGTGGAGTTTTGGAAAAAAATCGTGATTCGTTCAGCATGGACCTGCGAGAGATGATTGGAAAATCGAAAAATAAGTTTCTCAAAGATATTTTTCCACTTCAACTGCCTTATGACACCATGAAGAAACAATTAACATTGTCCGTAAAGTTTCGAAATTCATTGGACTTGCTCATGCGCACACTATCTGCCGCACATCCCTTCTTCATTAGATGCATTAAACCTAATGAGGAGAAGAAATCTAATGTAAGTTTGCTTAATATGGTTTTTATAATTTAAATATAATATAAATTTTAGAACAATAACAAGGTTCCGTGAATTATCATATTTGAACCGCGCTACTGATACATGAATTAGAAAACATTATAAAATACTCCAAACCCAAATATTTTCAATACAAACTTAAAACATTTACCATTCCAGTTTGAGCCATTTTGCTTACGTTTTTTATTGCATTTTGCAGTTATTTGACCGCGAGCTCTGTGTACGCCAGCTGCGCTACTCCGGCATGATGGAGACGGCACGCATACGACACGCTGGTTACCCCATACGTCACAGCTATAAGGACTTTGTAGAACGTTATCGCCTGCTGCTGCCGAAGCTCGGTCCAGCCCGCACCAGTGACTGTCGTCAAGTGACCGAGCAAATATGCAAACAAGTGCTACCCGCCACGGCTGATTATCAGTTCGGACGGCAGAAAGTATTTCTGAAAGACCTTGACGATACATGGCTAGAAAAAGAGCGTGCGCGCATTGTACTTCAATCCATTATAGCCATACAACGGGGCTTTCGGAAAGTACTCTTCCGACGTCAGCTGCGACGTTATCGCGAAGCAGCGCTTGTCATACAGAAAGTATGGCGTGCCTATAAGTGTCAACGCGATTTCCTCATAGCGCGCCAAGGCTTTCATCGCTTGGGCGCTTGCATTGCACAACACCAATTGACGCATCAATTCACAAGTCTGCGCAGTCGTGTGATCCACTTGCAGGCTTACTGTCGTGGTCATTTGGCACGGCAGGCGTTTAAAATGCGCCGGCAGCGTCATAAGGAGCTGCAAGCGTTGCGCGCGTCGGAGGAAGTGCTAATAAGACAAGCGCGCGAACATCAACAGGCCGAGCGCGAGCGACAGTCACGCCTCAGCGCAAATGCAGCGGCCGCAGCAGCAGCGGTGGCAGCGGCAGCCAAGCCGACACCTCAAACAACTCCCATTGCCACACAAGCGCTTGTGAATGGGCAACTCGCTGTGAATGGTAAGAACGGCGTTAATGGCATGCCCGTTGCTGCGAAGCGGCAAATCAAAGCAGAGCCCAATGACAATTTCATCGATTTGGAGTCGTCAAAGCAGATTGTGGACGACGTGTTTGGCTTTCTCGATGATGCCGATGTGAGTGCACCGGTCGTGTCGAATGTCAGAGAAAAATCATTGATGTTCGAACGAGAATTGCGTCTGAAAAAGAATATACCCATTAAACTGCTATCACGTCCGGTGAATTATTATGAGGCGCCACCAGCGCGTAAATTGTCGAATCAAACGAGATTATAAACTAGAATTAGTTGTCAGCCGCAATTAGAGTTTAAGGGTATTTGTGACGCTGTACATAGTTGGCTAATAATAATCTAAAAGAACGAATGCGCCTGAAAATATGCTATTAACATTTGTAGACTAAATAGAATAAGAAATATATAGTATTGTTACAATTTAAATGTGCTGCTGTGTGGCACAAGTTGTAGCCGCCATTTTTCATTTCATACTCATGACACCTTGCTTATGAAATACCGTTAGGTAACGTTACTATCACTTGCATATCTAGCTATATACATAAAGTAGTTAGCTTATATTTTCCATTTATGTATTTGTAATTATTTTAAGCTTAGTGATAAGTGTGAAAGAAGAAGCATTGTTGAAACAAAAGCGAGTTAATTGTAATGCAATGTATTTTTAAAAGCATTGCCTTGCCTCATTTGCTTGTATGTGTGCACAAGCCTTTAACGATTCGCTTTAGTAAACATACATACATATGCGCACTTAAATATTTTATTTAGCTTTAGCACGATTGTAAATAAAAATTTGTTACCTTGGTTTGTTGTTGTAACAAAAGGCTGGCATTTTGTGAATTTTATGCAGGTGCTTGTAGAAGAATGTAGGCTTAAGTCTTTTAAACTAAATATGAAATATTTATACATTTGGTAATTGCCTGAAAAATTCGCACATTTGTTGGTTAGCAAGCATATGTCACTGAAAATCCGGAAATGCAAGTTTATTTTTGCACATGTTCTATTTAAATTCACTATAACTTATGTATGTAGTTCGAGCTTAGCATTAATAAAAAACTTTTGAAAGCTTTTAGATGCTATTTTCTTGATTTACTTTTGTTATTTATTTAGTCGTTTTAAACGCGTGTAACATGTTTCAAATTTAATAGCGAGTAGTTTTATACTAATGTATTATTTACAGCAATGTTTTGATAATTTTCGTAAATAAATTTACTACTTTTTGCAAAAAATATATATACCGGCCTTTTGCGAGAAAAATTTTTTTTACTTTTCTAAAGACGATGCGTTTAATTTTTTTTAATATTTTTGATATATTTTATCAAAGATTTGCTAAAACTAATTCTTTATTTCAAAATAATGTACGAAAACCGGTTTGAATTTAAATAAAGAATATTGTATGAAATATGTTGTAATCGTAAAAATTAGTTCTCAATTAATTTGTTTGCAATAACGACTGTAAGAATTAAATGCATTTTTCGACTATTTTTTGGTTTGTATGAATTTTTTTATATTTTACATTTTATATTTTCGAAACAAATTGTGCCTCAATATTTTATATATATTTACTCAGACATTTCTTGCAAATTCAAAATTTTCTATATCATTATATTTGCACCTAACTCGCACTTGCACTAACGCCCCCTCGCACTCGTATCATTAATGTGCTAAGCGATTAAATCCGTTAATGCTTGTATTGTTTTTGCTTTAGTAGTTTTGTCACTTACTTGTATTTACATTTTTTGTTGTTTTCTATTTTGAAAGCAGTTATAACCTTTGCATATTAGTTAATGCTAATTACGAGTATTCGTGAATTTATTTATCAATTATCGAAAAATCTAATACCATTAGCTAATTGATGATTTTTAATTAAAATTTTCATAATCATATTTCAAGTTAAGCAAGTCATTCTAGTAATGACCACCGCAGTACCAGTCATAAGGGACTTTTATAATTCCCGAAGCAGGGATTAAAAATTAAATTTTTTTTAATCTTAAAATTTAATTTTTAAATTAATTTAATAAATTAATTAAGTTAATTTAATTTTAAATTTTAATTTTAATTTAAAATTTTATTTTTAATCCTAATTTTTAATTTAATTTGAATTTAAAATTTTATTTTTAATCCTGATCTTTAAATTTAATCCTAATTTTAAATCCAGAATGTTTGGGATTATAAATTGAAAATTATAAACATTACTTTTTAATTTAAATGAAGTACGCAAAGGTAAAAAAAAATGTTAATTCTAAAACAATTTTTTTTTAATTCTTAATTATATGTTTGGTATTAATATTTAATCCGGTACTGTTTCAAAAATTAAAAAAAATATACGGTTTGTCGAATTAAAAATTTTTATTTAATTTTCTAATTCTGTGGGATTAAATTTTATTTATTTTTCAACCCGGTATGTGGGATTCAATTAATTTTTTAATGCAGTCATTCAATTTTACAGTTCGCATCTCACATTTCATCTCTTTTTCCAACAAGTTCTTATAAACTGCGCCGATATGGGAATGCTGTTATTTTTGCTTCTTTAAGAATAGCTCTGATAGAATGTACAGCTATGAAGCTTAATTTCGTAAAGTGCATCAAAGATATTTAACCTGTAATAACTACTGCTTTCATTTAAAAAGAATATCAGCTTTACACTACCAGTTTACCTTGTAATGTCAACTACTCATACATTTTACCTTGTATGAAATTATAGTAATATAACTATATTTGTATCAGTTGGTAAATCCACAATCTATTAAATTTTATTTTCAGCTTTTACTTACTGCTCGGAAATTAAAACCACCAAACCTTTGCTTTTTCAAAGTAATATATTTATTATATATAAGTATAAATATGTCTGTATGTATTTTTTATAAATCTCCACCACCAATTCTACAATAATTTCGTGGAGACCTTCAACAACCTGCAATCGTAGAAAAACTAACAGCGTAAAGTAACTTACAATTACTTCCGACTGCAGTTCAATAAATTTAAGGTATTACTAAAAAGTTTTCAAATTCATATACCAAAAATTTATTGGCACTCATATGAGTTTATAGGGCCGATAAAACATGCTACCACATTCAGTGGCTACCGCTCCTTATCTTAATACAAGTTGCTAAATATATGACTAGGTGGCAGTTAACATTACAGGCGGCAGTAGCGGATTATGTTTATCAAAAAGTATTTATGACATTGACAGTGTACTAATATGAAATCGAAGGTTATAAAATGTGAGGAGCGAAAGGAGTGTTTGGTCTAAAAAATTAATTAATAAATGTCCCAGCAAGCATCATGACTTATTAAACTAATATTTTATTAATAAAGATCGAATATTAATTCTGCACAACTTGCAATATATATAGAGAAAAAATTGCTTTAAAATTGTAGCAATTTAACATACAGCAATAATTAAAAAATTGTATCAAAAGTAAGGCATTATAATTTCCGTTAAATAATCATCATTTTTGTAAATCATAAGATTATTTTTTGAGTTAAAGTCGTACTTTATTATATAATACTATTTATAAAAATGTGCATAGCTTCTTCGAAATACACTGAAATTAAAAAATAATGCTGTGACTACTTGGTATAACAACCAAAGTCATCCTAGATACAACCGAACGATAACAGTATTGAAACCCATTGTAAATAAAAATATCTCCAGGACTTGTTAACAAACACTGCTTCAGTGAAACTGCCTTCCCATACATTATATAAGTAGTTTTTTAGTTTCCAATGAAAGTATATTATTATTTTAGCCCCTGTGCCATGCGATACCTTCAGGTGGTACAATACGCATGACAAAACTCAAAACAAATACGATAGATACATCTGAGTATAGCTTTGCGAAATTCGCTGCGACTTACTTTAACGCACAAGCGACCGGTTATCATAGTATAAAGCCCCTAAAGAAACCGTTACTTGAACATGACTTACCTATGGATGGTATTGCCGCCAAGGTAAGTAGAACTTTGAGTTAATTCTACGACGCAGTTATATTATATATTGAACTATAAAATTCTGTGCACTTATCCACTCCTGCACGCATCCCCAAAACAGGCCATTTGGATAATGATATTGCGTTTTATGGGCGATAGGGCCGCGGCAAAATTTGAAGAGGATGTTGAAAGCACTCAATTCAACTATCATGTTAAGGAGTCAAAAAGTGCCTCTCAGAGTAAAGAGTTTCAAGCTGCACTTGCTGCATTAAACGAGACCGAATCGAAACATCAACATTTGATTCGAAAAACATTGAAGCGCAAAACGAAATTTCCGGACCTATTACGTAAGACGCTAGATAATGTCGAGAAAATCGAGTTCTACGAGCAAGTTTTGAATGTACGCAGCAGTAATTTGGAGAAATTGCATTTCATAATTGGGCATGGCATACTGCAACCCACTCTGAGGTTAAAGTTTTTATATTCGTTTATGATAAATATTTTAATATTTTTATATTTTCAGAGATGAAATATTGGCACAAATCTGTAAACAGTTAACCAATAATCCTTATCGCTCTTCTATCGCTAAGGGCTGGATATTACTTTCCCTCTGCATAGGCTGCTTTCCGCCTAGTAACCGTTTTGAGAATTTTCTACGTTGTTTTATACAGCATGGTCCCATGTTGTATGCCCCGTATTGCGAGAATCGTTTGGACCGAACACTGAAGGTATAAGATTTAACTCCTCAATTATACGTTTGCTGACTTGTAAAGTTCCTTTTCCGATTCCTTCATAAATTTTAATCAATGTTTTATATATTTACTATAGAATGGACCGCGTACACAACCACCCTCGTGGCTAGAGTTACAGGCAACTCGAAATAAGTCCGCCATCACGTTAAACGTTTTCCTTTCGGACGGCAACATGAAGAAGTTACAGGTGGACTCGGCTTCTACAGCAAAGGAAGCAGTACAGCAGTTAGCGGAGCATATTGGACTCTTGGATCATTACGGCTTCTGCATTGTCATTTCAATCTTCGACAAAGTCATGTCACTTGGTAACGGCAATGAACACATAATGGATGCTATCTCCAATTGTGAACAGTATGCTAAGGAACAGGGCAAGAATGAGAAGAATGCGCCTTGGAAGTTGTATTTGCGTAAAGAGATGTTTTGTACTTGGTACGATCCAAGTATGGATCCCATAGCTACATATTTAATATATAAGCAGGTGAGCGTATAAATCAGAAACCATCTATGACCTTTGTCTATCAAAAAGTATTTGGTCCTTGTGACCTTTTCATTTTGCAGATAACTCGTGGCCTCAATTTTGGTGAATATCGCTGTCGCACCGAAAAAGATATTGCTATGATCTGTGCACTTGAATATTATGTGGAACAGGGTGCAAATATGGATAGTAATGTAGGAATCTTAAGTTTGTAGACCGTTTCGTATATAATTTACTAAAATTATACATTTTTAGGTCTTACGTAAACTCATACCCGACTTTGTACCAAAGAATCTCTTGACAGCCGGTGAGAAAAGTCTGAAAGCATGGGAGCAGCTTATAGTGGCAACATTTGCCAGCAATAAATATGTGAAATCCGGTACACCAAAACAAGCCATGGAGGATATCTGTTTGTTTGCGCAACTATCATGGTCTATGTATTTCTCACGATACTTTGAAGCTGTACGCATGGCTGGACCGCAACTCCTCACAGATAATGTAGTTATAGCCATCAATTCGAATGGTGTATATTATGTCGATGAAACGGAGCAAGTCTTGGCTGAACTAGCTTATGCTGAGCTGAGCCAGGTGACGTGTGTTACGGTTGAGAGTCCGAATATCAGTGAGCTGCATATTGAAACTGTTCAGAAGCAAGATTTCACCTTCAAATGTTATGAAGCAGCAGATATCGTGGAGTTGATAAATTTTATGTTGAAAAATCTCAAAGAACGCTCGAAATATGGCATTGTCATGGAGGATTACAAGCCAGCATTAGAAGAGCGTGAGGGTCGTTTCTTCTTACTAAAAGGTGATCTGGTGCGATTTGATGCTGATATCACAGGTGCGCAAATAATGGAGGGTAAAAAGCGTTGGTTTTCAGGTATTTGCAACGACGAGTTGGGAGAATTTCCAGTGGAAGTGGTAACCGTTCTAGCAACGCTAGCAAAACCCTCAGAAGAGTTATTACGGTTATACAAAGAGAGCGCTGAAAACGTGCACAAGCGATATTTAAAATCGGTAAAATATACCACAATACAGCGCCAACGTATGCATACACTGAGAAAATTTGCAGAAGATCATTTTCGTGATGAGCAAATGTTAGTAAAATTTACTTTAAATATAAATTTATTATTATGAAAGAAATCGCTTACACGTTTTTTTTTTAGCACCGGACGGCCATCGCAGGTGCAACTGCACACAGTGAGGTCAATAAATGATGAGCTGTGGCGACATTCATACAACATGCTGAAGGCCCCCCTGCTCAAAGTTCTTTTACGTGATCCGGAGAATTTCCAAAAAGCGCTTGTAATATTTTACAATATTCTGAAGGTATATGAGAATAAATTTTTAAATACTTTATTGATCAAATTAGCAAATTGTCTAAACTAACTGACGCAATTACTAATATTAAGATAGGAAATTATGTAGAGAGATTACACTACAGCTTCGTGCATTTTGTACTATGCTACTAAATCATTTTTCAATTGTTTTACCAAAAAGTTTAACCCATTCTTCAAACGTCTAATAACAAACTTCAATTAATACTTAATTTGAATACTTTCTCTCTACTAGTATATGGGTGACACGCCACATGGTAAGCAGAGCATAAATACCGATTTCATTTTCAAACCTGCCTTAGAGTTTGAGACCCTCTGCGATGAACTCTACTGCCAGCTGATGAAACAATTAACGGCAAATCGTTTACAACACAGTGAAGAACGCGGTTGGGATCTGATGTATTTAGCGACGGGCGTCATGTACCCCAGGCCATTGGTTATGAAAGAGCTGCTTGAGTTTTTGAACACACGCACACATATCTTGGCAGTGGAGTCCCTCAAACGCTTGAAACGTACGCTGGCCAATGGACAACGCAAACGACCACCACATGCCATCGAAGTGGAGGGGATACAGCAGCGTTTCATGCATATTTATCACAAGGTGCGCTTACATATTGAAAATTAAAACATTTAATCAACAAAATTCCACTTTTTTCTACAACCAGATATATTTTCCAGATGGCAGCGTGGAAGCTTTTGAAATTGCTTCCTTTACACGCGCTGCTCACATTACACAAGACATTGCAAAACGTTTTCAACTCAAATCTTGCGAAGGATTCTCACTCTTTGTGAAGATCGGCAATAAAATATTTTCCATGCCCGAAACGGAATTCGCATTCGATTTCATTAACGAATTGGAGGAGTGGATGAAAATGAATTTACCCAGTCGCTCAATAACACAAATCGGATTACAGTATCAACTGTATTTCATGAAAAAACTTTGGTTTAATGTGGTGCCTGGTCGGGATCGTCATGCCGATACGATTTTTTACTATCCACAAGAAGTGCCCAAATATTTAAGTGGTTACTACAAAGTGGATAAAGACTCTGCGATCACAATGGCTGGTTTAATTTACGTAGTTGGCTTTGGCACGAGTACAACGCATTTGCATAAAATAGGTAATGTGCTACCATATTTAGTGCCCGAAGATCTTATAATGCTTTTGAAAGTTAGTCAATGGCGTCCACGCATAATACAATGTGTAAGTGTCCTGTTGGAGGAGAACGTCGATGAGTACGAAGCGACACAACGTTTTCTAAGCCATTTAGTAGCGCAGCAAATGTTCGGTTCGACATTCTTTTTAGTGAAGCAGAATGAAGATCAAAATTTGCCAGAGACTATATTGATTGCAATAAATAAACGTGGTTTTCACATTATTCACCCAGAAAAGAAGGTGAGTAAAAGGGAATGTGTTTTTGCATGCTATTAATTTTAAAACGTAATTCTAGGATATACTGCAATCTTACGGTTATGCCGATTTAAGTTTCTGGAGCTCAGGAAATACATATTTTCATGTGCGTTTCGGCAATATGATTGGTGCTTCGAAATTGCTATGCACCACCACCCAAGGTTACAAAATGGATGATTTGCTTACTTCTTACATCAAATATTTTAAAGAGAAATAGAGAATATATAGGGTATACATATACCCATAATACAATATATTTATTATAACACAATTATTCTCTGAATACAAATATGTTGACAACGGTGCGTCCGCTGTACAATACTAAATAGAACACAGAATACATCAAAAGGCTTTTTCTCAAAAAGAAAACATATCCTATACACTTCTTCAAATACGCTACAAAGAAGTTGTAGCACTGTAGTAGGGGTGCTAATGGGTTTACTGTCTAATTGGCAGACATGCCAGTAGACTAGGAACACCATATAAGGACTATTGTATAAGCTAAGGTAAGAATCGATACTATCGGTCGAGAGTTTCTTGACGACGTTTCGGAGGTTGCACAGATGGTTCAGAGAGGAGATAATAGAGTTAGGTGATTTTTGTCGCGCTGGTATTAAAATGGACCTCCTAAAAGCCCAGGTGTGTCGTCAGATAGCCACTCTACCTACCTACCTACCTACCTAAAATCGATATAATCAACTTTATTATAATAGACGAGCGGGACACAAGAGTATATTAGAGGGTTGCTAGGTGAATAAATATCTGAAGTATTGTAGATTAAAAGAGAAAATTTTGTTTATTTACAGAGGTGGTCACTAACCTCATTCAGAAATAAATTATCACTAATAGTGCGATAAATACCTTTTTAATGTCAATAATATTTATATTTTCGCAAATTTTAAAATTTTCATTTTGATTTAAATTTAATATTTTATTTCCAAATATTTTAACTCCTTGGCCTTCTCTACTAACGCCAAAATACCCGTTAGTGTATCCTCACAATGTGGCAATATTTGTATCGGCGGCAAGATAAATCCAAATCGTCCAGTATCGCGGAATTCAATGGTGTACGAAATACGTATACCCTGTTCATTATAAACCCAATCTCTGGTGGAACCGGTAGTGTAATCTACGTAACAATAACAAAATATATATTATTTCAATGTATTGCTCTACACTAGTAATGCACGACCTTATAATTCCATAAAATTACTTTCATAAATCCTGGTATTCATACTTACACATAGATGTCGCTGATGTGCCATATGTGTATTCCGTGCCGTAAGGCAACGTTTTGACAGCGTCCGAGTAAGCCTTTGCCACAGCCATTAAATCAGCGTGGTTATCGGCTAGCTCAGTTGTGTGTCCATATGGTGAAAGCAGCACTTGACTATACGAGTGAAAAGCGAGATAAATATTTATGCGCTCCTTAATACTGGTTACGTAATCGGATATAGCTTTAATCTCTGGCTCTGAGAAAGGATGTGCACCAGCATAAGTTTCACTGCATGGATTTGCAGAAGCACCTCCACTTTCCATCCAATGTGAATCACTATTACGATTCGGATCGGCGCCAATGCAACTCGAACCCTCCACCGGTTGGCGAGTCTTACGCCACATGCGATCCTAAAAATGTTAGTTTATTTATTAAATGTATGCTGTATCTTCAAAGCTCTGCTGCAGAGCTCATATTTGTACCGTTTCATGTGTGTAGACAAAGCCATCTACATTGAGGACTGGTACAATATACCAATCATAATTCTCAGCCAAGTCACGCACATTAGGATCCGTTGAAGTAAGTAACTCGTTGATGTACCATGTGGCCGTAGCTGAAGTAATCCACTCCCGAGCATGTATGTTCGATTCAATAAATATACCGGGATTACCCTCTTTGTAAGATATTTTTATGCCGCGTATCTTACGTCCTTCAAAGGATGTGCCAATATCTATGTGACTAGTAACATTGGGATATTTGGCAAGTATGTCGTCTAAGAAAGTTTCAATTGCTGATAAGGGATAATAACTCGTCCAACCAAAGGATAGATCATCAGTAGACGTAGTGTGCTGCTCGTTATCAATTAGACTGTAAATTTTAGAAATTTTAGTATGATTGAAGTTTGAAAGTTAGCAAATATTAATTGTGAAAGAGTAGGTATATAAAAAACCACTTGTGCTGTTAGCTATATATTTTATAAATTCATTACTACTTTCGAGGTGCGATTGGACAACAGTTTTTACATATTATTTACATACTCTACGTACCTCTGTACATTTGAGGCCATCACTTGAGAAGGTAGTTGATAGGAACGTGTAACATTTTGTAGATAAATGAGCTTTTCTGGATTTACCATTATATGAACTTCTTTATCATCGCTGTGCCATAAATTAAACTGATTGGTAAAATATATATTATTAGCTATGTGATCGATACGTGACGGCATTTGACTTACTTCGTTGATAAAACATCGTTTAATATACATATGTAAAACTAGGGATTATATGAAGGAATATATGAAAGTATTGGTCTTCGTTGAAGGATTAAATATATTTTGTTAATTTTTATCGTTTTTCTTATTGATAGTAAAACATAAATTGTATATAAGTATTTCCGAAGTCAAATTAATAGCTTGAACCAGTTACCCTCATTACGAATCAATGAACAATTGTAGTGCTTTTTCACTTATCAAACAAATTTCTTCACCACGTTAAATATCCCTTTATTCACACAAAATAGTTCCTTTCTTCAGTTTTATTTGCACATTCATACTTTTTAAGACATTTTTATTTCATATATTATACATATGTATATACGAGTGGCGCTTCAACTTACTCCTTTTACGTTTTCTGCCAATCCTTCGATCACTTGACGTTGTTTTGCATTTGCAGTTTTAATTTTGAAAACCTTAAAATTGTCATAGCGCACTTTGGACGCATCAGCTAGCACCAAGCACGCGGATACAAATCCGAAAACGAGCGTTACCCGTGAAACTTTCATTTTGTCTGGCTGGCAGAAGAAGATCGACTAACGACTGAAAGCATAAGTGGATTAAAGAATTTGGAAATATCTACAATCTAATTGCAGATAATAATCGATAAGCGAAATGTATTGATAACCATCTTATCACATTATTCCAGGAATTTAAATATTAATTATACATTAATTTTCTATAAGCAAACGAATATAACACTTACAAAATATGTTGTGTAAATTCTTCAAAATATTAACCGAATCCATCATATCCGTATGTAATTTTGGAACAAAAAAATCTTCTAAAAATTAGTTTTCCTGCTGAGAAAAATTCTGTGTGGGTTGGGTCTTGCCTTATACTTCAATTTATTAAATATTCATCTATATCAGGTCCTGGCCCACTAGATTTGTACAATAGATTATCTAACGTTAAGTTTATCGGCTTCTAATAAAGAATTCTATTTCTTATTTTGTGGGTAGTTTAAATGAAATGTGAATAATTTTTAGAAGCATAGTTAGCAATAATACCTATGTATGTAGAAATAATAGAAAGAATAGTTTCTTAGAAAATTAGCTTTGTTAGTAGATTGACGAACACCCTCTATTCCAATATACGAGTGTAGTAAGCATAACTCTATTCAATTTTATAAATATAGTACTTTATTCATTTCATCTGTACATACAATTTTATATATTGCGTGTATGAATTATAACATCGCAACTTATGTATATTTAAGCTGGAGGTAACCTAATTCGTCGGCCTTTTCCACAAGTGCTAATAATCCGGCAAGAGTGTCCTCACAATGTGGTAATATCTGTATTGGAGGTAGAATGAAACCGTAGCGTCCTGTATCACGGAATTCAATTGTGTAGGAAAGCTGAATATCCTGCTCACTATAAGCCCAGTCATTTGCTGCACCAGAGGCGAAATCTGTAGAAATTAAAAACTTAGAGTTATGCCGAAAACAAAAAAGAAAAATCATATTTACACAATAAATCAGCTGTTGTACCGTACGTATAACTCGTTTTATAAGGCAACGTAAGCACCGCATCGGAATATGCCTTTGCAACAGCCATCAAATCTTCAAAATTCGTCGGAGGATCTTTTGTCCAACCATAAGGTGTAAGTAAAAACTGACTGTATGAATGAAAAGCGAGGAAAATATTAATACGCTCCTTAATACTCGTGACGTAGTCGACAAGGCCTTTCACTTCCGACTCCGAAAATGGTTGTGCACCACCATATGTCTCGTCACAAGGATTGGTGGAAGCACCGCCACTTTCCAACCAATGTGAATTGTAGTTGCGATTGGCATCGGCGCCAATGCAATTCGAACCTTCCACCGGTTGGCGAGTCTTACGCCACATGCGATCCTAAAAACACATATGCCTGTATTAAATGTGTACTATTTCTTTACTGATGTGGTACAATGGCTCATACCGTTTCATGTGAGTAGACAAAACCATCCACGTTGAGGACTGGCACAATATACCAATCATGATTTTCCGCCAATTTCCTCACATTTGCATCTTCGGAAGTGAGTAGCTCGTTAATTAACCAAGTAGCCGTCGCCGATGTTATCCATTCACGTGCGTGTATATTCGATTCAATAAATATACCAGGATTACCTTCTTTGTAAGAGATTTTTATCCCGCGTATCTTACGTCCTTCAAAGGACGTGCCAATATCTATGTGACTAGTAACTTCGGGGTATTTGGCAAGTATATCGTCTAAGAAAGTTTCAATTGCCGATAAGGGATAATAACGCGTCCAACCGAAATCGTTACGATCGTCTGCCGTTTTAGGAGTTTGCTCAGCATCAATCAGACTTTAAAGCGAAACTTTTATTATTGTTGTTGTTTTTCATTAACAAATGTTTTTACAATTTACCTTTGTACATTGGAAACCATGACGTCTAAAGGCATATTAAACGATCGAGTATAATTTTGTAGAAATATCAGTTTTTGTGGATTGACCATTAAGTGGACTTCTCCCTTACCGCTGTGCCATAAATTAAACTGCAAATGTTTTATTAATATTTTATTTATAATTTTTTATTCCATAAATTGAATTGCATATTAAAAACTTACATTCTTTGACCCGCTAGCTAAATTCTCGATCCATTTTTGTTGTTCTAAATTTTGTGTCCTGATTTTAAAAACTTTGTAATTATCATAACGTACTTTTTTTGCACTGGCAATGGCCATAAGAATGGCTAATACAGCTAAAACTAATAATTGACTCTTCATCTTGAAGAGTTGACAGTCAAAGCTTAACTAATTTCAGCTCAGATAATTGGAGTACTTAAGTACATGCCGTAATCAATAGATTCGCCTTATCAAAACTTTGAATTTCTGATAGTAAGAAGATTAATTCTATGTTTGTATTTGAAAAGAAATTAATACAAAAATTTGTAGTGTATTAAAAAAACCAGAAAGATAAATAAAACGGTATTCACCTTAGTATGCACTATACTTGTATAGTATTTTAATAGTTGGGGGAAAAATAGGAAAAATAATGAGTTAAAAAATTGCAAAGTTACACTAAATAATAAATGCTTGTCAAGAATAATTTGTTTAAGTGTTCTAAATCATGTTTAAAGTCGTAAAGCTGCATGACGGCCGCTCCGTTTGTTTGGTGTATAGAACTGGCACTAACAAAACAGTGGAGTAGGGTTGGGATATCCTCCAATGAGAGCTTCACAAAGACGCATTTTGTGTACTAATAAAATAGGAATTATCAGATTTTCATTGAATTCAATTGCTCTTATATGCGTCTTTTCAAAATACTTGAGGTTCCGATTCAAATTCGCGACTTCGATATGAAATCGTTGACCAACTTAGTTTCAGTTTAGATTAATGCAGTATGGGAACAAAGGTAAAAGGACGAGTTCTAGGGAAATTTTGCAACATATTGTTTTCGAGATTAGTTTTTAGATCGGGAGGCGAAAGGCGTTTTTTCGTTTTGATTTTGCACAAACACGATTTATTGTGTGGATTAAATATGCGTGATTCACAAGCAACGAGTTTTTTTGTTAATCATTTAAACAGTGCCAATAAGTATAGCGCAGTATGTTCATTTAGTATTTATTTGTGTTATCATATAAACAATTCAAAATGTATTACGTGCCTCATTAATATTGGTAGGTATATTATGTGTATTTAACTTTCAGATAGCCTAATTCATCGGCTTTCGCTACAAATGCCAACAATCCGGCAAGAGTGTCCTCACATTGTGGTAATATCTGTACTGGAGGTAGAATAAAACCGTAGCGTCCTGTATCGCGAAACTCTATTGTATAGGAAAGCTGAATATCCTGCTCACTATAGGCCCAATCATTTGTTGCGCCAGAAGCGTAATCTTTAAAAGAAAAAAGTATGGAACAAATTGAATAAAATAAACCATTGTTCAAATAGCATCAATTGAAAGTTATTAGGCCTCACAGTACACACACAAAATATGTCGCACACTTACACATTGCACTGGCTGAAGTGCCATAAGTATATTTCGTCTTATAGGGTAACTTTTCGACAGCATTCGAATATGCCTCCGCTACTGCCATCAAATCTTCAAAATTATCAGGTGGCGTCTCGGTCCAGCCATGAGGTGAAAGCAACACTTGACTATATGAATGAAAGGCCAACATAATATTGAGTCGTTCTTTAATGCTGGCTACATAATTGGCTAGGGCTTGAATCTCTGGCTCTGAGAAAGCATGTGTACCGGCATAAGTTTGACTACAAGGATTTGCGGAAGCACCATTATTTTCCATCCAGTGCGAATCGTAATTACGATTGGCATCAGCACCAATGCAAGATGAAAAGTTTACTGGCTGTCGGGTCTTACGCCACATACGATCCTGGTTTTTTGATTTTTAACAAGTTGATATTTTTGTAATATTCTTATATAAATGTTATTTATCAATATTTAAATGGGAAGCGCTTTTACCGTTTCATGTGAGTAGACAAAACCATCCACGTTGAGGACTGGCACAATATACCAATCATGATTTTCCGCCAATTTTCTCACATTTGCATCTTCGGAAGTAAGTAGCTCGTTAATTAACCAAGTAGCCGTCGCCGATGTTATCCATTCACGTGCGTGTATATTCGATTCAATAAATATACCAGGATTACCTTCTTTGTAAGAGATTTTTATGCCGCGTATCTTACGTCCTTCAAAGGACGTGCCAATATCTATGTGACTAGTAACTTCGGGGTATTTGGCAAGTATATCGTCTAAGAAAGTTTCAATTGCCGATAAGGGATAATAACGCGTCCAACCGAAATCGTTAAGATCGTCTGCTGCTTTAGAGGTTTGCTCAGCATCAATCAGACTTTAAAGCGAAACTTTTATTATTGTTGTTGTTTTTCATTAACAAATGTTTTTACAATTTACCTTTGTACATTGGAAACCATGACTTCTAAAGGCATATTAAACGATCGAGTATAATTTTGTAGATATATCAGCTTTTGTGGATTGACCATTAAGTGGACCTCTCCCTTACCGCTGTGCCATAAATTAAACTGCAAATATTTTATTTATAATTTTTCTTACCATATATTAAAAGACAAATTAAAAACTTACATTCTTTGACTCGCTTGCTAAATTTTCGATCCATTTTTGTTGTTCTATATTTTGTGTCCTGATTTTAAAAACTTTGAAATTATCATAACGTACTTTTGTTGCACTGACAGTGGCTATAAGAATGGCTAATAGAGCCAAAACTAAAAATTGGCTCTTCATCTTGAAGAGTTGGCAGTTAAAGCTTAACTAACTTTAGCGCAGGTAATTTAAATACTTAAGTACCATTCGTAGACTGTTTCGAATTTTATCAGGTATTTAGTGGCTGATAAGCTGATTTAAATCAACAGTTTTTGTAGTTAATCTAAATACCTTTTATTGGTTTTTAAATCAGCAATAATTCGGCGTTATCGCTATTTATTAATGGCTAGTTATGTGCATTTGTATTCAGTTAGTTTTTTTTTTTTTTGATAAGTGTAATTAACCGCAACAGCAACTATATATGTTAATGAAATTAAAGAAAATGCAGCCATATTAAGGTATCATATTCATCATTTTAGTTTTATTTTGGGAAAGTGTTAGTTTGTGTTTTATAAATATTATACACTTGACATTTTAACAAATTTATTTAGTTACTCAATTTTGATATTTTTGTACACAAATATACATACGCGCATAGGTATCATCAATTTTCACAAATATACATATTTCCGATATAGGAATTTACCACTGACATTAATTTAAATTACAATTTTGATGCTTTTAGAGTGAATTGCTTGAGGCAAGTTAATGCATATTAAATATTACTTTC